GTGAGGAGGACGTTCACCAGGCCCCGCAGGGAAAATACGAATGGCCTTGGAGGGGTGAAAGCTCAGGCATGCTGCGCCACGCACATAAAACAAACAAAACAGAACAAAATGGAAGAGACACAACCAAGAGGGACAGGAATTCTCAGTAGCTCCCAAAGCAAAAACAAATTGTTAGCAAGCAGTTCGTTTCTCTGCAAGTCAAGGGCCAGGTGTGCCCCATGGGTCTTTCCTTCCTCGAGCTTACTTAAATACACAAAGAACAAGGGAAGACCCTTTGGCAGAAACCACAAGGATATTTGGTAAAAGCATGCATTATTCCACTTAACCCTCACTGCAGGTACGAAAATCACTCTTTCAATTTCATCTTGCTGCAGAGAAAACTGAAATTATGGAGTTAAAGTTGCCAAAAGTCAGGCAAGTTTGAAGTTGGGCAGCACCTAGACTGGCACCTGGTGCGTTTAACTTAGTACTTCTTGACCCTGACTGCACGTGAGAATCACATGGATGCTTTTAAAAAGCATTAAAAAAAAAAAAAAAAAAAGCATAAATGCCTGGGCTCCGTCCCCAGACAAATCTAATATGAATCTCTTGGGGAACAGCTGGAGCATGGGTGTGTTTTAAGAGCTCTCCAGGGGTGCTAGCTGAGTCCAAGCCCACAGGCCCACGCCCAACACTATGACTGCTGTGCAGTAACTACCTTTTGGGGGTCATTAGTGATTTAAAAAAGAAGAGAAGAAAATTAAAAAAAAAAAAAGATTTCAGACATTTGGAGCTCTTATCCAAGAGCTAATCTTACCTCCTATTTGTAGTAGCTTTGCAATTTGCAAAGCATTTTCACTTCTCTTATTTCAGGTGATTCTCACAAAATCCCATCTCACCAAAATTCCTATTTTGGTGGCAAAGAAACTGAGGCCCAGAGAAACTGAGGAATCTGTCCACGGCCACACAGTGGCCATTCTGAGGCTCAACCTGAAGTCTTCATATTTCAAGTCCAGTATATCAAAGAGGCCCTATCAGGAATCTTGGACTCTGCTATGACCAGCTATATATTTTTTTTTCTCACTTTTCCCTGGATATTTGACATTGAGTTCCATCACTGGGGGCAAGAAGGGGTGGTGAAATAAATGAATTACTGTATAATAAAAAATATTTTGAAACTAGATTTTCTCTTAGTATTGTGAGAAGGGCAAAGTCACTGCCAAGGCCAGCAAGGAGAGCCATGGACTGTGGCTTTTGAGAAATATGAACACAAGGCTCTTACTGGACACGAACTTGAGTTAAAAGAGAAAAGCAGCTAAAATGAAAAGCCCTAAATGAGTCAGGGCCACTTAGGGAGTCCATTTACTTTCCATGGTAAGAATAAAAAGGCATTTCAAGTCCTCTGTTTGAAACACAAAAAGCTGACCTGGAATATGGTATCTTATGAGAAAATATCTTATGGTATCTTATGAGAAAATATGTGAAGCCTGGGGACATGGCTTTGGTTTAAGAATTTATCAACTTCAGTTAAAAGAAATCTGGGTGATCTTATCACTCGGCTGGCCTCCATCCTGAAAGTTCTGTTTGCCCACATAAGTCACTGCTGGGCCAACATCCTCCTTGGCTATCCTTCACTTTGTCTCAAACAAAACTGAAGGAAGTTCCATGCACTACTCAATGTTACTGTACATAGAACCAGGTAAAGGGGAGAGGCTAGAAAATTCTCCCTGTGCTTAGACTGCAGGATGTTTGAATCCAGCTCCATTACACAGAGACAAGTTCTTAACCTTTCCAAGCCCCATTGTTTCCATCTATCAAATAGGTACATATATACCCAGATCCAGCTTCATGGGCACGTGGCCTGTGTAACTGGACAGAACCCTGCACTTAGAAGGGCTGCGTGCTTTGTTTAATGCTCTGCTGTTGCCATCTTGAAACTCTCAATAATTTTTGAGCAAGGGGCACCACGTTTTCATTTTGCACTGGTCCTGTTTATAACTGTCTCACAAGTTGTTGGAAAGGACTGCAAGAAGTAAGATCTGCAGCTGCAACCTAGGTCTGGTATGTGGTAGGTGCTCTGGGAAGGTAGCCACTGCTACCTTCATTATTTTCACATTGCTGAGGCTATTGGTATGTTATTTGGCCCTGGGCACTATGTCATCTGTAAGTTGGATGGACAGAGTCAAGTCAGAGACTCAGCCTAAGTGACCAAGAGTGACCACTTCACCTCTTAGATGGTTTGCACATGCTGCTGAAGAACTTTCTCAAAGCTCCCTCAAGTTGGTAATTTGTTCACACAAATCAGTTCACACAAATTCCCCTCCTCCCACATGGCACTGTAGATGCACAAGTGGATGTTCTTTCCCTCTGATGGCACCTAAGTAGAATGGCCATCGGGTCACCAGGTAAGTGGCCAAACGATCAAGGAAAGAGTCCATGCCAAGCAGGCAAGCATCGCTTTGCTTTAGAGAGAGAGGCAGTGACTATGGTCCACTGGAGAGAGAGATAAATGGGAGGCTGATAAAGGGAGATGCTGTTCTGTACTTTGAGCTCTGTCTTTCTGAAGAAGATGGTTTGTAGGGCTCTCGTGTATGAAAGGCGTTTCTTTAGAAATGGGTGTTAAGCAGACCAAATTAAGAAACTTGGTGCCAGGTTGCACTGTCCAATATGCTGAGATGAGATGTCTGCTACGTGAATGGATCCTGAGCTTTACCAGGGCTCAGCCATGCCACCAAAGCAACTTAACCTCCATGTATCCTGTGTTTGGGGGTGGGGTACAGTTTAACATGGTGCCTGACATCTGTCCCAGGGCACTGTTACTTTTGGCTACATCCTTTCAGTGCTTCTGAAATACAGATCTGCTCTGAATAAAAGGACTGTCAACCTTATTTTCTGAGTAAACATGCTGGCAAGGGCTTGAACGTCTGAGTTCCAGGAGGACCTCAGTACCCCAACACTGGATGGAGACCCCATCACCAGGTGTCATGGGAAGCCCATTGCGATATGTGTGAATGTAAAATTTAAAAAAAAGCATCACCTGGTGCCAAGTAAAAAGCTAAGTCAAAGATCCACAACAACAAAAATCATAGCAGCAGCTAGCAATTACTGAGCCCTTAATATATGCCAGGCACCGTGTCAGAACGTTATGCTTATTATTATCTCATTAGCTCTGACAGCAACCTTTGCAAGTAATTATTATCATCATCTTCATTTTCCACGTAAGGAAACCAAAGCGTGGGGAGGTAACATGACTTATTCTAAGTCATGCAGCTAGTAAATGTCAGAGCCTGGATTTGAACCCAATCCATCTGACTCCAAAACCCAAACTCTCATTGCTGTCCTGGCCTCATGAGGGGGCCTTTCAAAGAAGCCTAGGAGGTTTGTCAAGTAATTCCCAAATGACAGCAGTTGCTGTTAAAATTTAGTAGAGAGTCCCAGCACTCCTCTTTTCTCAAATATGCTAGCTACTCCTGTGAAAGTTCTAAATTCATGTCAACTATATTTCACCCACATTAAGGAGAAGTCTAGGAATTCAAAATTCTGCTACAACCTTTTTCTTTCTCCCACCAAACTGTTTGAAAGGAATATCTAAGAGGGAAGAGAAAAAAAAAAAAGTCATTTTGTTAAAAAAGTTGAAAAATATGCTTTCAAATGAGAAACATGTGTGTGCTTATTCTTCCTCTTTTGTCTCTCCCTACCCCCACCAAGTTGAAAACAAGCTAACACAATACAAATGTACATATCCACATAAAGATACAAGAAACCAGCGGTGCCCTGGATGGCAGACAGTCCAGCAGAGCAACCCGAGCCCAGCTCCAAGTCCAGTTTTCAAGCTTATGTACAATGACTCCTGGCAAAAGAAGGGAAAAAATGTACTTGAATTTTAAAGAGGGCATCGAGCAGGGGTGAACACTCAGGCAGGCTGGAGAGCAAGTGTGTCAGAGATTGCAGAAGTGCTGGAGTCATGCCATTTAAAAATATCATTTCTTGTTTCCTTGTTTCTGCCACAAACAAGCTACGGAATCTCAAGAATTGGGTCATCATTTTTGAATTCCCTGCTTTCAGCACAGCACTCAGTTGGTCTTATTGAGTAGCTTAAAAGTCTGATTTCCTGAGCTAACACTTCCTGGCCATTCAGCTGCGGGGGGGGGGGGAAAAAAATTGGGGGGACTGTCTTTCCCACTGGCAACCAATGTGCAATAGTTCTCACAGGTGAGCCTAGGTCCATCCTTGCATTTCCTGATATCATATATTTAACAGCATCATATATGTCCAGGAAAGCACCACTAATAGACCACCGTTCTCCCTGGGAGGCCAAGGGAAGGGAGACAGGTTGACTCCTGGGGGGGACAAAACTGGCCTCCTGATCTCGCAGGGTGATGATCTTTCTCATTGGCTTTGATGTTCCCCAAAGCGTGGCTGGCTTGCGCACAGGGAACGCGGGGCTGTGAGGAAATCATCCTATACGAGCTTCACTTAGGGTCAACAAGAGCCCTCACAACTCAATGGAGTGGTCCCTACCACCAATTTTAGCAATTCTAGCAACAGATTTAAACTTACCTCCATCTGGGAGCAGGTTTTGTGAACTTTTACATGATTTTCTAAAATTATATCGAGGCTTTAAACATCACTTCCCATCTCTGAGTTCCAGATTTCTAGCAAGCTGCCCCAGTTTGTCAGTGTGAGACAAGACACCCTCCTCCTCCTTTTGACCAGGTGAAAATGCTTCCTACTTCTCTGCAATCACTTGTTTCAGACCAACATAATCACCTCCCAGTGCAGGCTCTGACTTCAGGACCAGACTCTAATAAATGCTACGCTAAGGGAACAGGGAATGCATTGTGAGCTGAGTTTCTGAGACTCTTAACACTCATGCAAAAGGCATCGAATTTCAGAAGATCTTCTGGAGCATGAACACAGTCATGGGGTCAAGTCTGGGCTTGCTTTATTTGACCTTAGTTTGTTTTATTTTATTTAGGCAAACTTTCTCGGGGGACGCAAGGAACCATAAAATCCCTTACCTTTTAAAGGAGCCCATTGTTAACAATTTGTTCATCACAGCTCCCTCCACCTCACCAAAAAAGTCTCCAGTCTGCAGGGAAGAAAAGAAGACCCATGAGGAAGTGTAGATAAATAATGTGCCCAAACACCAGAGGAGAAATAAAAACGGACACACTCTGTGTCCTGGAGCTGACAGGGGCAAAGAGCAGGTTTTCAGGACTACTGTTACATAACAGCGGAAAAGGTCTTAATAGTCATGAGAAGTTATGGGATTACAGAGCAAACTAATAAGCAGATGTGAATATTCCAAATACATGGCAGGGGCGAGGAGGCAGGGTAAGGGTGACATTGCATAACACGTGCTGAGTGTTGTAATTAAAACACACATGCACACGTGTGCACACACATGCATACAAGCACACACGCATGCACCATTACTCTTGGATGGAGGGAGTAGGCATTAATCTGCTCTCAATCCCTTGTGATTAAAACACTACTTCATACAGACAGAAACAGGCTGTGAAAGGGCTTCCTAAGCAGTAATAAAAAGAATAGTTTATAATTCCTAAATGACCTGTTTAGGGATATATAGCAGTCTTCTTCATCGGCTCTATAAATTTCCTACAGCAGAGAATATGTCCTTTCTCTAAATTACTTTCTGAGGAACACCCTCATTTTGTCCATAGGCAGTTAATATGTTGACCAAGAATGAAGCTGTCTAGCCCTGCGAAAAGAAGGCTTGGCCAGTCAGACTTCCAATGGCCAACCCCAGCTCTGGGGCTGTCTTCAGGGCACTGGAGGCCTACCAGTCCTTCCCCAGCGCCAGGCTGATGCTCCTGCAAGTCCAGTTCTTGGTGCTGGCCGAGATTTGCCAACTCTGAAAGGCGGAATGAAGGATTAACATCCTCGGGCATCCCTCCAGATTCCTGGAGCCACTATCATCAGTGTCCCAAGGGGGAGGGTGTATCCAATACAGCAGAACAGAGCTTGGAGCAACAGCCTTCCTCTGCCAACACCCTGGAAGGGGCCAGTGTAGATCAGTAGAGAACCCCCATCTGTACTGTGGGTGCTCTGAGGATTTATAGCTTATGTGGACGTGGGTGGACGGCATTACACTCAGAGCCCAAATTATATAAATTCCATAGGCTTTGTATGATATTAACTAAATCCTGATTCCATTACAATGCAGTGACCTCAACAAGGCTCCTAGGAGTTTTCAGGCAGAAAGGCACATACAGACTTCGCCAAAAAGTCCGAAGAGAGAGGAGGAAAGAAGGAAATGACATTTTCACTGACTGAAGGTCAAGCATTGCCTGTTTCACTCCAGGGACACTTGAACATTTGGCAAACTCTGTGGGTATGCGCTGCCACTGGGAGCAAGAAGGACATTTGCATTTCTTGTGTGTAAATATGCCAGTATCAATGGAACTGGTTGTAAGATGAAGAAGAATTAGCCTAATTGGAGTACAGGAAACCAGACATCAAACAAGCTGAGGCAGGGCAGGCCCATAGGCTCCCTGGGCTATTCTATCCAGAAATGAAGCATGGATCAGGACCCACATGTAGTGGCCATGGCTTGGGAAAGGGTCACTATTTCAGTGGTTTACTTTGTTGGTTGGTCCAAGAATCACCACTGGAAGACATCATCATGTCCTTCCTCCCCCAGGATCAGGTTCCCACCCTCAGCCCTCCATGATTACGGCAGGATGACAGAGCTTCTCCTCACAGAGGACTGATTTGGTTTCTCACTCCTCCCAGACACATGGGCATATTACTATAGGCCTATGGCCAGTCCTGCTCCCAAGAGACTGGCCTTGTTTCATGGGCTCACCTTTCCTATCTAATGTCCATCAACTGTCCAACATCCAGTGATGTCCAGCATCTGAGGAGACCGTGTATGCGCAGCTTGAGTCTCAACTGTGTAACTGTCACCCACCAAAGGTGCATTTAAAATCTCACAACATGGGCTTCCCTGGTGGTGCAGTGGTTGAGAATCCGCCTGCCGGTGCAGGGGACATGGGTTCAATCCCTGGTCCAGGAAGATCCTGCATGTCGTGGAGCAGCTAAGCCTGTGCGCCACAACTACTGAGCCTGCGCTGTAGAGCCCACGAACCACAACTACTGAGCCCACGTGCCACAACTACTGAAGCCCGCGCCCCTAGAGCCCACGCTCTGCAACAAGAGAAGCCACCACAATGAGAAGCCCGCGCACCGCCACGAAGAGTAGCCCCCGTTCGCCACAACCGGAGAAAGCCCTCACGCAGCAACGAAGACCCAACGCAGCCAGAAACAATAAATAAATAAAATAAAATAAATAAATTGATAAAAAGAAAATCCCACAGTGTTCTCATAGATAAGAGGGGAAACTGAAGCACAGTTCCCACATGTTACCTGGAGCCCGTGTTCACAAATTAACAAGCCATTGAGCTGAGACACTAAGGAGTCATACTTAAAGGCAATTAATTAATTAGGCATTAATGGGTCTATTGCACTGTTGACTATTAAAATATTTTAAATGATTTAAATGAGACTTCATTATAAAAAGCTAGTATCCTCAAATATTAGAGTTAGAAGAAGCCTCCTTTAGTCAACCATCCTCCTTTTATAGAGCCCGCCAGGAGTCCCTGGCGGGTTAAGTGATGCACCCAAGATCCCAAAACTAGTTGAGGAAGAGAGTTTGCATCAGAAACCATCCGCCTCCACTTCTGGTGTTACTTTACTACACCACAGTGCTAAACTTGTCTGGATTTGACTTTCTTTTAACATGCTAATTTCATTTCTAATTGCAGAAAAAGTTGTCAGCCACCAAGTTTTAAAGAAGAAACCCGTGTTTCTCTATTACAATGCTATTGATTTTAACTCTTATTTTGATTTCCAAATATCAGTGGAGCTTTCTTTGCTGAGCGCCCTAGCTTGGTTTCTTTCCATCTCTCCCTCCTGCCCCTGTACTGCACACAGCTCAATTAAATGAAAAACATTCTTCCTCTATATGTGGATTCTTGTCCCCCTGTGTTGAGAACCCAAGTTAATCCTTGAGCTCAGATAACTAATTTTTAAAAAGTCAGAACCAGAAAGAAAGCCATAAAGAATAATTACGTTGGCATACATAAATACATACATATATTTGTGTGTATATATAAATTACATATATATAAAGATAAAATATTAAAAGGAGGAAACCTCCTTAAAACTGCCCAAACTCTTTCAGGCACCTCCATGTCAAGGCAAAGAGTTCCATAAATTGAACATTTTATGAGTGAGGGAGCAGACCCTGGGCTCTGCACCCCTCCCCACCTCTCCTCTCTGGAGGTAAAATCTCTTTGGGGCCTGCTGAGAAGTAGGCTGTGACATTCTTAAAGGGATGGAAATAAGGTTTTATAATCTCCTGCTATTACCTCTTAAATACAGATCATGTCTCAAAGTTTCAACACCATAATTTGTTCCCCCAGACCCAAGCACAGTCTGGGATCCTTACTTTGAGTAGGTAGAAATTTCTCACTCACTTGTGTGTAGTCTTCAGACACCAGAATAAATCCATTATTGTCTATGAGGTAACAGTTCACAGTCTAGAAAATAAAAACACCACAGTTTCAACTTTGGGTTCTCAGACTGCTTTTACACGAAATGACGTACTTCCAACCTGAGAGACACCTATTTTAGGCTGTTTTGGGAGAACTGGAAATGCCTGCTGGCTCTAGGAGTTAAGGCTATGGTTAAGCTAACCCCAGCACTTACTCTTCAAAACTAATTAACAAAAATAAAACACGAAGCAAGCCTTGAACATCCCCGATTAGGATAAAAAGAATATACATTTTAAAGTTATGCATTACAGTTTATCTTCCTTTTCAAAAATTTTTATGACCTGAATAATATTTCCCAGGAACAAAGTGTCCAGAGGCCCCCAAGCCTGTATTCATGGTGGTTGAAGTACGGCCTGTTTTGAAAGCAAAACGCCAGCACAATGCCATTAATTTAATGATGTATTAATGAAAACACCGTGTCAGCTCAGAAGACCATCAGGGGACCAGGTAGTATTTTTTAATTTGTTCATAGACTTAGGCAGGAGGGAAGGGGCAGAACTTCTGTTAAAGGGTCCCCTCAGGCCTCCTAAAGGTTTTCAAACTGTGTTTTTAATTGGGAGTTGGATTTGGGGGCAGGGCTGTTAGCTTTTGGTAGCTCAGATTTATAAATTGTAGCAAGGTAAGCCCAAACCTCTGCTTCCCCCACACTACTTTAATCTCAAGTGAATGATTTGCTACAGGCTAAGTCTTAATTACAGTGCTGTGGAGTTTAAATTTAAGGTTTAATTCCGTTCTTGATGTAACTCAGTTTCTATTTATTGCAGCTTTACATACCGACTGCAACATTTAATTTGTAACATGTCTTTACCCTGAGCTAAATTCCCCTAGCTCCAGACCACTGCAGGGCTGGTGTTTTCTGGGACATTTACCTATCTGTGTAGTCGATTTTAGTGAGGCACAAAAGTACAGCAGTAAGTTGGTCAGAAAGATGCATCCTTTATTAGTAGGCAATGGTGGAGAATCGGCAGAAAATTAAAAGCCCTGCTAGCATCTTTTAGAAATGAGTCGGCTGCTTTGGTGAGCAAGCGTTTCTCTTGGTTATCCCAAGGGGCCAGATGAATGACTTGGTCACACTCTTGCTATTAAAAGAAGCTCTTAGCTGCAAGAAGACTACTTTGTCCCTGGTGGTAGTCTTGACAAACATTCTCCTTTTTTAGGACACAGCACTATGAAAGCACTCATAGAGTTCTGCTGTCCAATATGGCAGCCACGAGCTACATGCAGAGTTAAGCTTAATTTTAAGTTAATTGGGTCATATCAGACAAATCTATACCCTTGTTTATTTGAGTATCCTGATTGTCATTTTGCAGATATAGACCCTGATGCAAAGGGAGGTTAACCTCCTTTCAGTCATACATGTTGAGCATAGAAGTGGCCTCCATATTAAAATACTGACTCTCCAAATCCTTGCAATTGCATAGAGATCCAAAGTCATCATAACTCACCCTCTATCCCTAATTATAAAGTGAGTGCCTACTCAAACATCCCTAGCCAACTGGTATTGCTGCTATTAGACCTATATCTTTGGTCAATCTCTGTTCATCTAATGTTGTAAATATTAGACAGTACAAAGCAAATAGATTATAAAATCAACTGAAATCTTCGGAAAGAGGCAATATTTCATGAAGTCCATGAAAGTGATATTGGAGATCAGCTCCAATCACACAGGAAGCCATTGGCACACTAGTATCTGTCAGAGGTAACACATGAAGAAAGAAAACGTCACCACAGATAACATGAAAGATGCTTCTGAAGAGAATGATTTCAAAAGCAAGGGACTAAGAGAAGCTCCTGGGGAAACTGATCAAACTCCACTACATTTGACCTTCCTTGTGATCACTCTGAGAAAATCAAATATAAAGTGAAGGATTCTACATTGTGATTTTTATAATTTTATCAGAAATATTATACTCCCTACTCCCAAACCAAATGTGTCCTTTGTTTATAGAATTAGAGTATGACTGCAATTATAATTTAAATTTGTTAAATAAAATAAATGTATTTTCACCATTTCCACTTTATTTAGAGACAAAGCTTCACTGAAATGTTTCATTATTTGCCATTAATGTTTGTTTCTTTCCCCACCCTCATTTCTTGGAAATGAGGACCTCTGTGCTCCTTATAATGGCCAGCACTGGGTGGAATTAAGGTTGGATTGGCCATTAGGAGACTCACTTCTCAGGTATCCACCTTTGCTCCTACTCTCTTCTGGTGTGGAAGGCACAGAGGGAAGGCATCTGTAAGAAACAGATATTGCCAACACTGTGATTGACAAATCACTGAGAAAATCACAGGTCAGAAGCAAGGATGCTGTGTCACTGATGTAGAATTGGGTCCCTTAATCTGAAAGGTGTCATTTAGTTTTCATTATAGACAATATTGCTATGTTAGGTATATTTAGTCTCTGTAAAGACTTCATAAACAGACCTTCCTTGATTAAATTATCGGGAAGTATGGTGGAATGGAGTAAGGCCACTGGAGTAAAGCGAGCAGGGTACTGGGTTATGAAACAGGACAGAATTAGCCAGATTCCAGTCTGATAAATTGTTTTCTCTGTCTCTTTACAATAAATGGCCAATCACCTTCTGCATACTCCCTCCTCCAGTAAAAGTAAATAGAGGAGATATTTTCTCAGCTTTCCCTCACTATGCTACTTCTGCCCCAAATTAGATATTATGCTACTTTGTATCTCTAGGCTACTTTCTACTACGCTACTTTGTATCTCTCAGAAGGAGTCTGCCCAGAGCCCTGTCCCAAGGGTAGACTGACAGGCTGAAGGGCTTGGGGAAACCAGGAGCTCTAAGTTTTGACAGATATTGTAAGCAACCACTCCACAGCCACCTGTGACAAAACATGTAAAGATGAGGTTGTTTGAAAAATGCAGAGACAAAGACAGAGTAGGTGAGAGAAGTTGTCTTTTTTTAAAAAGGTATCTTTCTTCAACTACTTGATGACTCAGTATTGCTCAGAGAAGTCCTATTCCAGGCCACAAAGGCAGGTCAGGTAGATATCTGAGGTTTAGAGCCCCAAACCAGGCCATGGGAATTGGGCAGTCACAGATAGAAAGGAAAGCTGGGGAGAAAGTGTACTTGGGGGTGAGAAACACAGCACCACGCCTGTGTTACCTGGAAGGTTACCTGTGTTACCTGAGGCTAAGATACTAGCTTGAGAATCGGAGACTTTGACAGTTGCTATCAGTGTGACCTTGAGCAAAGCCTTTTAACACTCCCAGTCTCAGTTTCCTTATCTGAATGATGGAGACAGCAACAACTATTTCAGAGGAGTGGTGAGATTAAGTAGGCCAGCGAGTACAAACTGCTGAGCACAGAGCAAGGTGCATAGTGAGTACCTGAAGGACTTGTGCTTGTGTCTATTCAGCGTATGACGTTTATTGGTTACCTACTGTGTGCCCTCTTTATAAGTATCCTACTGCTGCAAATTGAGTTTCTCAGAAAGGGAAGTTGTTACATAGTTTATAGCAAGAGGCTGGGGAGGCAAGTCAGCTGATAAGCATGTGCGCTCATCTCCCCTGCTAACCAGTTAGCTCCTGGAGGACAGGGGCTATTTCTGACTCTGCTTCCCATTGACTCCCTGGGTGTTGGAGGTACCAGGCACATAAGGAGGGCTCAGTAAACGTGTCTTGAAGGAATGAGTGAGTGTGTGAGAGGCTGCCTCTTAGGTTCTGAAGTTAACGTTCGCCTTGGGTGGAATGGAGCTCCTTAAAGTCGTCAGTCAGGCCCATGGCCAGGCTCTCCATGAAGATGGATCTACAAGCCAGGAAGACATCTGGCCATACCGACTCCACCCACTGGCCCAGGGCACTCTAGCCAAGGCCCAGGGAGGCCATTGTTGGGAGAGACAGAGGGACTGGAGTGGATCCAAGGCAAAGCATGTCTGATAAGTCTGTGGGAGTTGGGCCAGGTCTTCAGTACAGAGGAGAAGCCAGAAGCATGTGAACTTAATGAGCCCCCACAGCTGTTTTTAATGGGGACCTGATCACTCGAGGGCAGTTCGGAGAGTGGAGGGACATGGCCTCAAAGACTTAATTAAAAGCTATGAAAGGGGAATGACACGTGGAAAGAGTCTGCTGAAAGGATGGAAAGGGGCCTGGCTTTTCCATTTAAAACGATGTCAACTGCTTGCCTGAAGCCAAAATTTAGAGTCAAAATGGGAAATGGATGATAGTTTCAAAGTGCAAAATGAGCATCAGATCAAGTTCAGCAATCCAGCAAATTCCATGCTTAATTTTCAAAGTGTGTGAACTTTTAAAATGATATTTGAATGGGGGTCCATCCCAATGGCTGCTAAAGGAGATCATTAGTAGTGAGGAAGCCATGCCCAAGTGGAAACTGTCATTGCCTGAAGTGTATATGTGGTTGCCGTCTGAGGTTTTAGGTTCAGGTGAGCCACTACTCTAAGGGAAGAACACGTCTGCAGACGTTTTTGTTTGATAGCTAATGTTTACTGAGTGCTTACCATTCGCCAGGAGCTGTGCTATACAGTTTTCATATATTATCTCATTCATCTTCATCATTACTCTGTGAGGTAGGTGTTTCTACCCCATTGTATAGTTGAGGAAACAAAGGCAAGGCTTATTACTGTCAGAGTCACAGTTTGAAGCTGTTCTAACTCCACAGCCTATACCTTTAACCACTATGCTAGACCACCTGTGAAATCAGTTACTGAACAACTAATATATATTGTATGTTTTGAAGTCTAAGTGGGAATCCATTTCCACTTATTTCTATATATGAGAATGCACAGAGGCAGTGTGGGTTGTAGGAACACTGCCTCTAACTTTATTCATCAAATTATTCAACCAACTATTCATCCATCCATCCAACCAATCAACTAGAAACCAATCAATCAACCAACCCAACTATCCAAAACACCATCAATCACACTAGCCAACCAACCATCCATCCAGTCACCCAACTAACCAACCAACTGTCCTCAGTTCCTTTACCACAAATAGGGATTAGTAATTGTACAAGTAAAGGGCTTAACATAGGGCCTTGTGACACTGATTAATCAATATTATTGTTGAGCTGAGTTGTCTTGAGCTGAACACTCCAGTAAGACAATTAATGCCTCAAAGACAGAGGAGAGGTTTGAAGCCACTTGACTATCCTATGAATGGCATCCCCAAACTTACTGAAAGGGTGTTGATCATAAAACATCATAGGGTACTCTTTCCTACAGGAAAATTATTTTTGATCTGATGGTCAGGAAAAATTGGGGTTTTGCTGAAAAGATGATTGATTAGTTTTTACTCTTTGGATAGTAACTCATATAGCAATTATGTTTTTTTTTAAACTGGCAGCCAGATCTTCGGGGACTGAGCATTTTGTACTTTAGCTTCACCCTGGACTCCCTTTTATATTTCTCTACTTGTCTTTGCTTCACCTACTTTTTGGAAATATACTTCTAATCTATGTTTTCTGAGTTAGAATTACGTTTGGTTAGGATTTCTTTAATCCCTGTGGTAACCAGAAGGAATATGAATGTGTGATCATTTATAAGTTCCAGTTTATGTATTGACTAATGGTTTGGCTGACTCAGAGAGAGGAAGGCCGCCTAAGCCAAAGTGAAAGGCCACTTCACACCTGCTTGATCCAAAATGTGGGGCAGAAGATACATGGGATTGGATGCTGTAAAAACTTAAATCTGATGGACAGACTTAGGACAGTGGTAATCTTTTTTCTTCTATTGCTCATGTGTGGAATTCAAATTCCTCCTCCCAAGATTGAGGGAGAGGGAGAGAGATAAAGAGAAAGAAAGAAGGGAGGGAAAGGGAGTTGTAGGAGGGAAGCATTATGCTAGAATGCAACATTCTGAGTTTTCAACTCTTTGATTTTTGGCTTATTACACGAAATTAAGCAAGTCATTTTATTTCTCTGATCCTCAGTTTCTCCCTCTGCAAAATGGGTCATATATTCCTAACCATTTCATTGGGTAGTTAAGAAGATGAAAAGAGGTACCCCATGGGGAGAAAACTTTGAGAGTTGTAATATGAGTTTCAAATGGCAGTAATTTGTATCGTTTTTTATAAAATGCCAAAGTCCCAGTAGTGCTGTTCGTGGGACATTTACATCACATTTCTCCAGCTCTCATAAACTATCTGATTGGGAGAAGAAAGAAAAAGAAAGAAACAAAGCAAATGTCCTTGGGTTTTTGGAGATTGGTCCAGAGCCATCTGTTAGACCTGGCTCTGTGAGACATTCCCCCTGTGAGAAAACACCCTTAGTTATCCAGCCACTCCACCACCACCCGCCTCCGCCCCTGCCACCCCCAACTTGATTAGGGCAGACACAGGGCCAGGAGGCCATCATACCTCATCATCACAGCTGATAGAGCATTTGCCATCCAGAGAGGCGCACTGTGGGGTGAGGGGGAAACAAAAGGAAACGTGTCATTTGGACACACCAGCGTCTGCTATGACTGCCACTTAGTTACTCAAGGACAGCCTGTCAAAGTCCTAGCCTGTTATGTAAATTTCATCCAAATTTCATCCAAAGAGAATGTACTCTCTAGGATGAGTACCAGCTCTAAACAGTAATATAAAAGACAATTTGGGGACTTCCTGGTGGCACAGTGGTTAAGAATCCGCCTGCCAATGCAGGGGACACGGGTTCAAGCCCTGGTCCAGGAAGATCCCACATGCCCCGGAGCAACTAAGCCCGTGCGCCACAACTACCAAGCCTGCATTCTAGAGCCCGTGAGCCACAACTGCTGAGCCCACGTGCCACAACTACTGAAGTCCATGTGCCTAGAGCCCGTGCTCCGCAACAAGAGAAGCCAGCCCGCTCACTGCAATTAGAGAAAGCTCGCGCAACAAAGACCCAACGCAGCCAAAAATAAATAAATTTATTTTTAAAAAACGACAATTTTGGGGTAACAGGGCCCTTTTTCATTTTAATTTATGTTGTCCATTTTAGTTTATGCTTCATTCAATATTGATGTCTTTTTAAGACCTCAAATCTTTGAGTAACAAGAAATATAATTATGTATTCATTTAATTTTAAATTAACCCCCAGTGACTTTTTTTTAAAACTCCTGTCTGTGTTCTTGGTACATAGTTTCCTAAAGTATCTTCATTTAAGAAATGATATACCATTTCAATATTTAGAATTGGACAGATGGAGGCAAATTATGTGTTGCCATTTCTGCTGAATTACTGAACAAATACCACTGAGATTACTTAGTACAGAATGTATAGTGCAAGTAAAGAATGTTCCCAGATTATCCAAGGCAGAGAAGCCCTTGGCCAAAGAAGGCATGCTTAGTCTAACCTAGTTATGCAAAAGCCTTCAAAAGAGATTCACAAATAAGTAATTGGGCACCACAAGATTAAAAGAAAGTCACTATGAAAATCTGCAAAAGTCCCCAATACTTAGAAGAAACACTTCTCTTTTAGAAGGTCACTAGTTTGATCTCACAATTACAACTGTTGCAGGAGCAAATTCCCTGCTTTCCCAGCATGTGGTGTCTAACACGCTGTCAGCCCTTTACTTTGCAGTGAAATGAAAGGTAATCTGAGCAGCCCAGCAGTTCATTTTACAAATATTCATCGGAAATCTGGCACTTTTAGGCTCCGGGTACTCAAATGTGAACACCTGTATAATAACAGTGTCGCTAATGCTTCAACATGCTGATTATAACTTACCTGTCTGCTGGCAGTCCAGAACTTCCTTTGGAAAAATTCAAGTTTCATCTGAATGCCTACAGCTTGGACAAATTATAAATAAAACATGGCATTAGAGATCTCTTTACACAATTATTTAAGATTATCATTGAAAATTATCTGTCAAGGTAAGATGCTGATGTAAGCATATCAGATAAGAACACTTAAAAACTAAATTTACAGTGAAGCATACAACTAAAACATTTTATCTTTCAGGTAAGGAATTTTCAAGGTTACCTGTACTCATAGAACTCTTGACAGAACAAACTGAGCACAGTGCAGATGGCTTTTTGGAGAGATGTTACTTGAGTGTTTCTAAAATTCATATACTTGTGGTCACCACCCTCCCCAGCACAGCTGAAAACAGGAATGGAAATAAGAAGGATATTCAGAAGATCACGGTTTCTTCAGGGTTCCCATTTCAGGGTTCCCAATTATCATTGCATGAACTTGCATGCCTAAAATGTGTACTCTGCATATATTTTTGAGATATGAAACTTGAAAAGTACTTGTCCTGAGGCTGGTGTTTGGAAGCAAGTCACTTGGCCATGATGTGACTTTGTTGAACTGTCCCCCAGCATCCACATCTCAGTGATCTTCTCTCCCCAGCAACTCTGGTGGAATTATATAGTTCTTTGCTTGTCTGTGGAAAGTTCCCTAAGGCAACAGTGGATGCTACTTCTAGTAAGAGAAATGTGCAGAAATGGAAGAGGTTAAGAAAGTGATTTGAAACTCTGGGAAGAAGAATTCGGTGGAACCTCAGAACTAGGCAATGAACAAGCTCAGAATATTTCTCTCTATGAAGTCAAGACAAAGTAACTCTTGAAACCATTTTCGAAAGTACTCAAGTCAGGGAAAAAAGCTCGTCAGATGGTGAGAAAACTTTAGAGGAGATGGAAAGAAAGAATGAGACTCTGTGCTGGAAACACTGCACTCCCCAAGGGACACCATTTAGCCCTGGGCCGTTTTGCAAACTTCAGTCCATTGCACACAACTTCCCCAATTTTTGCCATATCCTTATACCACCAGTATTGTTATTTATCTTTCCACATGCTTTTTCTTTTGCTGAAATACCTACAGTAACTTCAATCTACATAATAATACCTATCAAAAGAGATACACAATTACCAAAAAAAAAAAACAACAACAAAGAAAAACCAAGTTCACCCATATACTTTTATGTGGCCACCATGTTAGATGCCCCCCACCAACTCCCACCTTGGGTAAACATTCTTCTGCGGGCTTCTGGAACTTGAAGATTTATGAAGGTCTTGGGCTGTTACCCTTATAAGTACCAAGTACATTTCTACTTCCTAAACAAATTGTTGGAGCAAGACCTGAGAGTCAAAGTTAACTGGGATATGTACACTTAGAGAGACTCATCCTCTATCTTTGCACTTAGAATGTCAGACTCTAGGGTGAGACTAGAGCTAAGCATGGCTGTAACATGCAGAATGGAAGACTCTGAAATGCACCATTTCAGCACTCTGGGTTCATCCCGCTTTACCCAAAGTGTCTTCCATCTTCCGGAGCACAAGCTCCCCAGCGACAGGGACATGTTGTTGCTCCCCACTGGATCCCTGCCTCCAGCAAGGTGCCAAGCACATAGATGACTCACTGGTAAATGATTGCTTTTTTAGAAAATCTGTTCAGGTGATAGTATAGTCACTAGATGGATGGATGGATACATAGATAGATAAACATCAGTGTGAATTATAATCATACCTGAATAAAGGTTTTTCAGTGGCAGTTCTCAACACATTAGAACCATCTGGGGGACTTCAAAAAAACATTCTGATGCCTGGTGCCTTCCCCCTCCACACTAAGGCCATTTAAATCAGAATTTCTGGGAGTGGAGCCTAGGCATGGGTATGTTTAAAAAGCACCTCAGGTGATCTGAATGTGCATCCGGGGTTGAGCTAGGCTACTCCACAGGCCTTACTGTAGATAACAAGTTGGCTATGGAGGACCTACCACGATATGGGCCATTTGGTCAGACTATAGCATAAACTGCTCTTCCTAGCCCTGGAGAAAATTTCAGAGAATACCTGAAGGAGGCTGATATTGAAGCCTGAAGGCTGTTCACTGCAGTTTCAAATGAATCTTGTCTTCCAAAATGCCTGACGATCCATATCCCTATTGGAGACGAACCAACTGAGGAAGCTGTAAACCAAAGTGCTGGCTGGGTTTTTAGTCAGATCCACCGGCAGGCAGAGGTAAGAGCCTGACCTGGACTTAAGAAGGGGCTTGAGGCAAGTATCTCTGGTTCTACCAAACACAGGGAAGGATGAGAGAAAGCTGACCTCAGAGCAGAAGGCCTAAAAACTGTTGTGACATTCAGTCACTGGTATCTAAGAGGAGGGAGGAAAACGAGTTTTCTCTCTTCCTCCGTGTGTATCTCTTCAGGCCAAGGTCAACAGCCACGGCAGGCTTCGAGACACAACAGGATAAAAGCAGAGGGTTCCCTGAGAGAGTCACCCCACGGTGACCTTTCTATGGTGTTTCTATTCCCAGCAACCCAGAGCTGCCCCTGGCCCACCCATTGTCTACTGAGTTCCCCTGTCAGTCACCCATGCCCTTTCTGAGCACCCTTCCCATTCTCTGATGGAGGCCCTGTTTTCACCTCTCTAATGAAGCTAGCTGCTCCCTCCTGGGTGTTTATCCATCTCACATACTTGCAGCCTGCTATCATCTGCCCCTTTCGGTCTGTATCCCAGCTCCTCAGAGTGCTTTAATCTTGCTTCATGAGTCAGTCCCTCCATCCCATTAATCATGCAGGCTGCTTCTCTCTGATCTCCCTCCAGCAGGCTGCATCCTCTCCCTGGTCCTGATGCCCTAAACTAGACACTACTTCCCTCACTCCTCACTCACTCCCTGTCTGGGCCATGAGGTCGATGCCAAAGGACTCCCAGACAGTCTTGATTATAATGGATCTGCTCCATTTTGCCCTGGCTGTGTTTTTTTTTGTTGCCCACATCCCTTCCAGCAACTCTGGCCCATGGTTTCCCACTTCCGGGTTTGTAGTACATTCACCTACAAGTTAATATACTTCTCTATGATTAAGAGATTCACAAGCCCATTGGTGGGTCAATTTCACGACCATTTGTTCAGTGGCGCTTTCTATGCCAAGCTCTAAGCTGGGTGCTAAGGGGAATGAGACCACATGCTCCCTCAGAGTCTATGTGGGGAGTGGCCACGTGGTAAAAGCAACATCAGAGGCTTAAACAGAGAACTGTGGAGCACAGAGGATGGGGCAGACTTGGCCTGGGGGAATCGGTAAGAACTTTGTGTAAGATAAAGCATGGAGATCTAACTCATAGAAAAAGTAAGAACAGAGGAAAGATGAGAATCAAGTGCAGAAACAGCACAGGCAAAAGGATGGAGCCTTTCCAAAGACCATACTGTCTTCTGAGGCTTGAAAGAATGTGAGTGGGGGAGATGGTTGTGCAGGCTGAGGTCAAATGGAAAATGGTCTTGAATGTCAGGCCAACACACCTGAAGAGTATCCTGTAGGCCAAGAGTTGGCCCAAGGGCCAAATTTAGCCTCTTTTTATCAATAAAGTTTTACTGGCACACAGGCACCCTTATGTGTTTACGTACTGTCTGGTACAACAGCAGTGCTGAGTAGTTGCAACAGAGGCTGAATGGCCCACATAGCCTAAAATAACTTACTGCTTGGCCATTTACAGAAAAAGTCTGCTGACACCTGCTTTAGGGTCTGAGGAGCCATTTAAGATATTTAAGTAGAAAAGTCAAAGGACCTCAGATCTGTATTTCAGAAGGTCCACAATGAAAGCCCTGAACAGGAGGGACTAGGAAATGGCCCGGACAGTGGGAGACAGGAGAGTGAGGTGAGTCAGGCAGCCACAGCCACTGGGTGCATTTGGCTAATTATCTCTTAAGTACAAACTGATTTAAAGTAAAAAACAAACAAACAAGCAAACACCAAAAAACCAGAATAAAAAATCCCCTCCACAAACAAACAAAAACGCTTAAGGGCATTCCTATGGCTAATTCTATTCAGAAAAACAAATACAAGCTTCCACAAACAGAAATTTAGCTTCCTCTTGCTATTTTCCTTTGTTTTGTTCCAGTTTTATTTTTCCTGTTTTCAACTTTTATCAGAAAAAAGATCATCATTACTTCAACAACTCCTCCTCTCTTCTCCCATCCCCCACACGTCCCAAATGGAACCTGAGATATTTGTCATGCCCGTCTATTTTGTTCTTTCAACATTTCAAGCCATAACGGTATATTCTGATTCAAGTCAATCCTGCTAATTTAATAAGAAAAACAAGGACTGAAAATGCTTTAGCGAAACCCAAGTCCCAAAGAGAATGCAGAAAATTAAAACACCATTCCTGGGGTTTGAAATTTTTTAGACAGTCCAGAAAATCATCAACATATTTCTCCTGGAGTTCACGGTGCTCCTCACTTCCATTTGATTATAAAGGCTCCCCGGCTCCCTGCTAGGAACTTTCAACACAAGGATGGAGACAGAGTCCCTTTTCCATGACTGCATCTGGTGGTTTCTTACTCGCCTCCCAGGAGCAGAACTGACCCAGAAGAAAAGTATCCCTGGGGACCCTTCCTAGAATGCCAATATGATGTGAGCCTCCTAGGACAATGACCTTAAGACACTAGGATGGTCTTTGGAAACCAACAAAACAGCAAAATCATCGTTATGAGAATTGTCATCCCAAAGAGCCCCAGAGCCTTTCATATGAAATATTCATGCATCTGGAGCACTGACACCTCATAATTTGCTTTGAATTAGTCAGGTTACTGTTGCCGTAACATACCTCAATACTCTAAAGTATGCGTGAGTACAGATTTTCAGCTCAGCAATACAGACCACAGAGCTTCCATGAAATATCTTCCTTCCAGGTTTCCTCTTTCCCCAACTCTCTAACTTCCTTCCTACCTACTTTTCCCCTCCCTCTCTTCGTCCAATGTTTATCAGAAACCAGATACGTGACAGGTGGTGAATGTATTGAAATGAAGACATAAGGGATGCAACAGCCATGGATGGAGGCCTGGGGAG